TCACCTCACAGAGGTCATGGGAAATGCGGCTGGCTAATTACATGGTGGCAACTGGTGTGGACTGGGCTGCATTTTGTGGCCTAACCTTTGACTGCTGTGGTAACACAAGCACAAGACCTTCAAGCTCCTGCTGCGGAAAATACTAAAAATACAAGGAAAGGAAGAAACTCTGACCCCTGGAAGACAACTGGAACAGGGATGGGTTTGTCACACCTAAGCCTTTTATTGCTTTAAGACACTAACATTTGAAGTTTGAAGTTTTCATACATCTAAAGCTGAGCCTCTTTAATTTGTTCATTAAAAGAAGGGGAACCGTTTAAGAAAAGGGACGGATATATTAGGCTACCAAGGATTTTTTCTATTATCTATAGAGTCTATCCGAACTATAAAAAACATTATTTGTATAAAATCGGACTATGATATATCATTCAGGAAAACGTTGTTCAACATTTATTTTCTTCTCTTAAGCTCAACTGGAGACAAATTAGTTTAAAGGAGACTAATAATAAAGTAAAATAACCTTTGTATGATTTCCTTTTATGTTGTGGGTAAAACTTGTTTTAATCCAGTTTCAATGTTTTTTCTGCCAGCATCCTACATCCTGATTTTAACCTTACTACTCTACAATGGAAAAGCTCAAAATCTCTCCATTCGGGATCAAAACTATTTTCTCAGATTTCGTTTTGCAGTCAAAGGTAGTCCACATCATATAATATTGTAGCTCTGAGAAACTGAGTTCTATTTTGTAGGTATTCAGAACTTCCTTTACCTTTATATGAACCTCAAATACCATCTTTGAATTCAATAAACTCATTTCAGTTTATTTATATAGCACCAATTCACAACATGTCATCTCATGATAACCTTTCGCCGCAAGCTGGATAGTCACGAGATCTGAGTTTTCAGTCTGATAACTAATCCAGCTTGAAAGACTCCCGCTATTACCCCCATCTCGTAACAACCAGCAAGTTGGACCAATGACATGGCAGCAGTGTTTTTTGGGGCGGGACATGTAGGAATGACGCTACGCAAGAGGACTCACCTGTCGATACCCCAATGACTCAGTTTTAGCTAAAATAGGGACAATTTCTCGTTTAAAAAGGAGCAAAGAAAAGCACTTTGTGCATTTGTAGATGGGAGAGATGTCTGTGCTTTTCTTCCGAAAAGTTTGATTTATCAGCTTACGAAATGTCATAATTCATTGCTACGATTAGCTGATGGCGTATTAATTGAAGGCAGGTACTAGCTGGCACGTCACCCAATCAGCTCGAAGTATTGTACTAACCGTCCCACCTTTTCATGGAGAGACTGAACGGCAGCCATCCCAGATTGATAACGTAGAACTCAATTTCTACACATCAATCTGGCTGCTGCCAGTTTAATCTGAAAGCACTTTACAGAAAAAATTCAAGTTGCAATTGAGCATTACTCATCGTTATTTAGACTATAATCATGACCGGAGTGAATAAAAGACAACTGATACAATACAAAGTATTAGTATCATGGATTGCTGATTTGTGTTACCAGTTATACAGATTCATTATTATCTGTATTTTTGCCTTTAATATATTGGCTGGTTTTCAGTTATACTGCCCAGTGTAAATGTTACACGATTCGTAAAAGACGATGAAGCATGTTAGAAAGTGATGTTGCCAAAAGGTTTCCATCTCCCTGTGCTTCATTCTTCTTTACACAGGAGGTGCTCACTGTGGTTCAGGAATCTGAACTACAGACCATTTTAACCACTAGGCAAATGTTTTACTTCAGAAATGAGCTGGCATGACGGCCCCCTGCTGGTGTAGTTTGGCTAATTATTTCTCCATTGGTTTATCACAGGGATCATGTGGGGTCGAAGTGATCCCGGATTAAATAAAAGGGGCCGTACTGTCTCTCCCTCCTGTGTTACTGACTCCTGGATTAATACCTGCTCACCAGAGCCCCAAACATCACCTTCATCCCTGGACTTTGAATGACCAATCAGGTGGTTGCTACATGGACTTCTCTTTGCATGTTTCTATTTCACCTTATCCTGTCTTTTTGATTACACTCACACCGTCAACACACTAGACATTTAAACCGACAACACAGAGATGGATCCTTTTTCTAACAATATGTTTTTGTAAAAAACTAAATAAATAAATGCATGCAATTAAACCAGTTTGGGAGATGTGTCCCTGTAGTGGGTAAAAAATATTCAACTATTCACCCCAGTTAAATAAACAGAGATTGATGGATTTCACTCTGTCAGCACTTTATTTTCATATCTTTGCAAAGAAAGAACAGTTCATCATACAGCCCTTACTGCTTGGTATTCAGCCCTGTTCTGCCTGGGCAGAGTGTGTTCCTGTTCCCTTTACTTACAATAATGGAAAGTAGTCAGAGTCAAAACAAATTACTGACACTTTGGTTAAACAGTAACATGTTCAGAATAATTGTTGAGAAAGAATCTGGCTTGTTTTGGAAAGAAGCTATGTCTGGTCTACGTACAAACACCCTCAAGCAGGGGAATTGTGTGGCCTTGCAGGTGAAACAGACTGAGTGAAAACTTTTATAGATAGCAAATAGGATAAATTAATATATGAAATATGAGAAATCGAAATTTTCTGACCACAGTCTCCCTTTCTTTGATAAGGCTTTTGAGCTGGGTTATCACACTGGTGTAACAAATGCAAAATGTGATAGCTTAACATAGGCAAACTCTTATATACAAAGTAGGGCTGTCAAAATTAACGCGTTAACGCAAGATGATTAATTTCTGGAATTAACGCAATATTTTTTTTTAACACTAACGCAGTCCCGCCCTGTTTTACCCACAAATCAATTGTCCGACATGAGCGAGATGAAGGAATCAGAAGAACCCGTTGGCCCGCTGGATGGACAGTTCGAGTATAAAAAAAACTAAGACAGGAAAATAAATAAACATGTTGTGGTTTTCTCATACTGCAAGAAGGACTTTTCGTTTCACCGAAGCACCTCCAGCCTTAAATATCATCTTAATGCCAAGCATTCATTTGTTTGGGCTTCAACTTCAGGTATTACGACTGCCATGCGTCACACCACCCTCACCTAGCACAGGGCATTAAGTAACAGTCCGCTTTACATTCTGAAAATGTCAACCAGTTAGTTTGCCTTAACAACTGGCTAAAAGATGAATAAATAATAGGTAAAATGACCTAATGTAATTGTTTAAAAGTCAAGTTGTTTGTTTTTAATGAAAAACTTTCCATTCACCCATCCTGTATTTGCTAAAATAAAAAATAAAAAAAGCAATGGCTAAGTTGCCAAAATTGTTGAGAATTAAATTCTTTTTTTGGATTTGTCTTTAATAAAAACTAAATGTAATACCCATCTTGCTTATCATTCTGTTTTGAAAACTACACAGAAAATGTGTATTTTTCAATAATATTTAGGCTAGTGATTAATCGAAATTAATTCACGAAACCTTGTGATTAATTAGATTAAAAATTTTAATCGTTTGACAGCCCTAATACAAAGCAAAGCCAGACCTGTTTATATGTTATCATAACCTACAGGCCTGTTTCTGCTGCTCTGCAGTCAAACTTATTCAAAACACCTGTTTCCTGCTCTTTCTAATATCATCAAACAACAAGACGGAGTCAGATTATTAAACGCTAGAGCTAGTATTTTTCATTCTTCTGTTTTTCATAAAAATTGGACCTGGAATTCCCTGTTTTGCCAAGCCACTGATGGACATTTGATTTGGCATTTGATATCTAGACCAAGACCAGGAACTGTGTTTCAATCACAAGTCTTGCCAGGCTACTTGGACCTGTTTGTTGATCTCATCTCTGACCACAGATGAGTGATCCAAGCCTGTTGCTCAGGCCAAGCTTCAGCAATGCTGCCTGCTGAGAGCAGCCTGCACTCAGTATCGTCACGCTCCTGCAACTCTGCAGAGATGTTCTGACTGCATCAGGTTTTCATTAGAAAAACCTTTTTAAAGTCATAACATCGTGTCTAGTTAAAAGTTCCCAGACTCTCTGCTTCCAAACAAATCACATGTTGTCAGGTGCATTCATTTTTTGGTGCTTACATTTCAGAAAAATCTGTATTTATTCAAAAAATGATTTCGATAATGATCAAATAAGTGCTGTGATAAGTGGTATGAACTTTTTTTTTTTTTAACTATGTTTTTCAACAAATGACAGATCTTCAAGGCTGTAAGCTTTAGCTCCACTATACAAAAAAAAAGCTGCAATATTTCTCCTCAAAGTCAAGAGCTTGGCGTTTGGGTGGGTTCTGTTTCAGCTTGACATACACAGATAACTGTTATTATAAGCATCTGTTACTGACAGTGAAAAAGTTAAACATGCAGACTCATACTCTAACAAGTGAGGTTATTTAAGTTTTTGTTTCTGCACTCTTTCTTAGTTGCTACTATGCTGGAGCCTACTGCTGGCAGGGAGTGAGTCCAGCTTTGAGTTTAGGTATAGAGCAGAATAATCAAGCTGCAGCTTTGCATTCCTCTATTTAAAGACATAAAAAAACACCTATTGACAAGACTGATTATCTTCATATGACATTTTTGACTGTACTCATTTGTCCCTCCCCCCTTTAAAAAAAAAAAAAAAAAAAAAAAAAAAACTAAGACCAAACACTTAGTGTTTTAGTTGTGGCCACTATTAAAAGGTCCTTAACAACAGCTTTTCATTTTGCTCTCTGGTACACATAAAGCAGGAATGTATGGTCATAAAAGAAGCTTAGTTAATAACTTAGCTGTGGAAAAAAAACAGAACTGGAAACAATTATGGAAGCAAATGGGACAGAAGAAGTGACGTTAACTGGAGTGACAGTTTAGCTGTCTAGTTGGAGAAATATGAGTGTTAACTAATTAATTTTTAAGAATTGCACTTACTTTGAAAGCAATTGTTATTGTGGGTTAACTTGTACATTATAGTTCAGTATTGTAGCATCGTCAATAAATCATCAGAGAAAAAGAGAACAGCAGAGGATATACCAATAAAACAGAGCAAACTTACCTTATCGGAGTACACAAAGAAGAGGGTAAGAAGTATCAGCTCTGTCAGAAGAATTATCAGCAGTACGATGAAAAACTGTTGGCGACAGAGTAAAGGGTTTTCAGTAGCTGTTCTAAAGGAAAAGAGAAAACACAACAAAAATACAACTACTGTTTAAAGGTATTATAAGCAACACAATAGCGTAAATATTGGTAAGCAGATACTGCAGATGCTTAGGGGCCCAGTCACTGACAACTGGTTGGTCCCCTACGCAATTGTGCACTAGGACGTCTCTTTGCAGACGTAATGGTGCGAAAAATTCCACTTAAACCCACCTGATACTAGGTTAACTGACCGGACCTTATTTATACTCCAACACATGCAAGATTTCAACATGATGGTGAGTCGTTTTAACACGACACCAATAGCAAAGCAGACTGTGGTACTGTTAATTACTATGTTACTAACTGTGTATAGTTCATTAGACGGTTCGTAAAATATACACTCATATATTATGTTTCAAACCGCAATAAAGATCTTAAAAGAATGATGTATTTTATTTTTTACCACACGACTTGGAATTATGGGTAATCCAGAGCGTTGATTAAAATCATAATGTACAATGGGTTAGTGACGATGGATAGCAAAAACAGGTACTTATATGGGGCCCACCCAGATAATGTTGCTTACGGGCCTATTGTTGTGTCGTTACGCCATTGAAGCAACACTTCACCACTACGTGGGCTGTTGACTGTCTGTGCCAATTGGAAGAACATGTTAGAGAAGAATTAAGTAACTCCTAACTTTATAACACCATTAGCAAGATAACTTTATTTTGGGAAATAGCAAAGTAATTATGCTATGAACAATGGATTTCACACTTTGCATCAAAGGTTGCACGCTTGGAAATGATTATGTTAGAAGACTGTTTAGTTCATAAGGTCATTGCACTACGACGGAAATATCAGCAGCTTTCCCATAAAAGAAATCTAAGTCAGTTGCTCTTACACAGCTTTAGTATTGGCAGTTTATGGGCTTAGCTGAGAGAGGCCGCTATTCACATGAACATAAATACATGTGAAGCCAGCCTGGTTTGTAGACAAGAGAATGTAGAACGACACAGATAGATAATGTGTGACGTTATATCATTTTTTATCCAAGAAGATTCATTTAGTTCTTCACACCATCAATTTTTAGTTCTTTCTATATAAACTATTGAATTATTGCTAATTGCTCATTTAAAGTTGTGCTGCTCCAAAATTTTACAAAACACACATGATCCAGAAAACAGATGGCATTGTAATTGTTGAATTACAACATTTTGAAGAATAACCAAATATAGTAATTACAGACAAAGTGTGGAAGTTAATTATAATGTATGGTCTGGAAGATTAATTAACTCATTATCCATACACATACATCAAACATTTTCATAAAGCTATCCGCTTGGAGGGAAAAACATATGTGAGACATATAGATGCATATAAACGCAAAAATAATTCAGTTTTCAATTCTGAAAAATGAGGCTTAGCCATCTGAGTAAAGCTAATTATATACAGCTTCATCCATGCATGTTTCTGTCAAATGAAACAAAATCAAATTTTAGGACCTTAATCATTATGATCTAAGCAAAACCTACTTTGTTACCCATTAATGCTCAGAAGAGTTTCTGACCTCAGACAACCACCATCCATCCATACATTCATTTTCTGACACGCTTAATCCCAAGTAGGGTTGCAAGGGCTGCTGGTGCCTATCTCCAGATGTCTACAGGCGAGAGGCGGGGTACACCCCGGACAGGTCGCCAGTCCATCGCAGGGCAACACAGAGACAAACAACCATTCACACACACACTCACACCTAAGGAGAATTTAGAGAAGCCAATTAACCTAACAGTCATGAACTGTGGGAGGAAGCCGGAGTACCCGGAGAGAACCCTCGCATGCTCAGGCAGAACATGCAAACTCCATGCAGAAAGACCCTGTGCTAGGAATCAAACCTGCAACCTTGACCCTGACAACCATTTCTGTCAAAAAGCCTTCAGCAAAAACTGTTGTAGGGCAACACAAAGGCTGAGTCTAAGAAAATCTATGCAAAGTAATACCATTAAAATAATGTTCTAAAAAGAGTTTAAATACATATTTAAAAGCATCATAAGAATAAACCCTTGATGCTTCACGCTTCTGATGTGAAACTATTTAACTTTTACTCTTTTGTTCATTTGTTTTAAAATTGATGTTACAAATATGTTTTTCTGAATAATTTTCCGTTTCATCAGACATCTGATGATTTCTCTGATATTTTATTCACTTTATTGCCATGGATTAGTGCAGAAATACAGACATTAGAGTTATCTACACTTTTCAATTTAAGGTTGTTTTACTGTTAACAATTTTCCTATGCTTAAAATTTGGTTCTGTTTCAGAGATGCTCTTAAATAGGTTGACTATCAGAACCTATGTTTTTGGAGACAGTCTTCCAAACTTCTGCTATCAGTCAGATTTATGCTGGCTCAGTGCTCACAAAGCCAGAATTAAGCAAAGTTTTTGAAACAAAGAATTTTGCTTCTATGCTCCTTAAATCTAGAACAAAGTGGGATGTGTAGAAACTGTTTCTTTTAAGGGGTGAAAACATTTTCGTTACTGCAGCTGTGATCAAACAATCTGAGTAAAGAAACATTCGAGCCATCTGTCTTTATAAGCCTCTAATATCTTTGTTTTCATATTTTATTCTTTCATGCAATGCTTTTATACTGTAATATTTCCTTTCTGCCTTTCTTCTGATCTTCATAGATGTTGATTTCCCTGTGTAATAATGGTGCCTTGACTGATAATGTCCAGTTTTTTTTTGGTATCAATGACACCAAAACAATCAAGGAACCTCAACAAGGACTTAGAAAAAAATCAAAAAACAAAATAGGAAGTCCCAAACTATCATTTAAGCTCCCTCTGTGATGAAGGACACGCGTTTCCCTCCTCTATTATATTTCTTGCTAAGAGAGCACAAGAGCTGAAACTGATCCCAGTGTGAAGATAATGTGTAAACAGAAACTGTGGAGAAAGCCTGGACCGATCAATCTCTGCATTCTGCAGTCCATCCAGAGTTTCTTTATGAAAAACAGCTTAAATGAAAAGTCAAGAATAACAGGTCTGTTTGATTCTTTTTTTAAAAGATATACTGAAGTTATTTGTTTGTCAAAAAATGCAGAAATCTGTCCTTTTTGAAAAGGGAAGAGCATGAAGACAGAGATAAAATTCTTTGGAGGTAGAGAAATGGTTAATCATTTATTTTTAGGGTTTTTATTTGCAGGGGGGGTTGGATTAAATTCTTCTGAAGTCTTGCATCATGAAACCTCCTTGACGCTGTTCAATATTTACAGCCTCCTCTGCACAGCATGGGAGGACGCAAGCAAACCTAGATTCCTAAAAAAAACCTCTAATTAATTCAAGGCTCATTTGGAAGTGCTGGTAAAAAAAAAAGAAAAAGGGGGGGGGGGTATATTTCTTATTCAATGGCCAACATAAAACAGTTTCACAGCCTTTTGTTGTGTTCGCATCTGGGCTGCAGAGTTTATTGTACCAGTGTTGCTCTTTCACACTCGACTGCTGACTACAACGGCCTGCTTTCTAAATTTTTCATGTCTTTTAGATATCTTCCTGTTCTCATATGTACTTCTATTTCTTAGTATACTGTTCTTGGCTGTAAAAAGAAAAAAAAAACATACAGAGGAGACTGAGAAAATACTGCAGAGGATGTCAGCGCTTCGAATGCTCTGTAATCCAAAGAGAGTTGTTGTCAAGTAAACGGTTGGTTCCGTCTGCCTCCTGAGATCCAAACGTGTACTGATCTTTGAACGACATGACACCATCAGCCCCAATAACAACTCCCCCTTCCCCTGGGTGCAAAAAGAAAAAACAACCCAGAGTCTCCGACAGTGCTTCCATAAAAAGGCTCAGCATGGCTTGATATGCAATGCCATCTCCCGATGATGTGGCAGGAGATATTCTCTACCTGACATTTTGCCTAATAAGAAACATCTGTACTTTTAAATTTAATATTTTACATTAAACCCTTTTATTATTCACAGCCTCCAACTATCCTTCTCCTGCCTGCACTTCGCTTTCCTCTGCTTCACAGTTGTCAGCCAGGTGCAGGAAGCCATGTCTAGCACCAAGGATTTGGAAAGGCTTTTGACTGATGCAAGAGCTTCAAGGGATTGTGTCGTTTGTGATGTTAAGCAGTCAGGGGCCTTACTTTACCTTTGATTTAAACTTCCTATACATTAAAGTTTGTTTTTTTTTCATTGCAAGTCTACACAAACATCCTTCAGTCAAGCAAACTCTCATAATTAGCTTGTGTCTCAGATACAACACTTTTAAAATTATAGCCAAACAGTGTAAAGCCAAACCAAACTAGGGATTTTAATGAATAATAGAACATTTTAATTATTTATCTCATTAATATTGAGTGCCTTTCAGAGTACTATGCCCATATGGTAAAATAATTTGCTGATTTATTTTACAAAATTTCCTGCTGAGGGACAATCTGCTTACTGGAATCACATGATTGAGCGGTTTTGTTCTTTTTTTTTGTTGAATTATTTTTTGTTTTAGTTGTGCTCCTGTTTTGTTGCCTTCTACTGTCTCTACACACCAGGAAATCTTTATAAGGCCACTATGGCTCACAGGGCATCATTAAGTCATGAGAAGGTACACTTTTCACTCTAAACAAAATGTTTTATGGTTTATAAAAAAAAATTTCATAGCACAATAATGCTTAAAATGATTTCCACCTTTGTCAGATGTTAATCTAAAATAATTTTTATCAAGGTGTTTTTTTTTTCAGACACACTAATATATATATATATAAATGTAATAAATTCATAAAAAACAACAATTTATTTACATTTAATTTAAAATGGCAATTCATTAATATTTACACCCACTTCAATATTTAATGGAAAAATCTAATGGCAGTAGAATCTACAAACCCCTCTTTTCTTGCTCAGCATCCCTTTGCCCGTTTCCACTGGTGTTCTGATTCTTTTCCCACACTGATGAGCTCCCAGTCATTGAGGTTGGAGGAACCCCTTATCATCCTCCTAATCTTTAGCTCCCCCCACAGATTACCTTTTAAATTCTAGTCAGGAACCTGTCTGGATCATTTGAAAACATGAATACTGCTTCGAGTCAGAAGAATCATGTTGGTCATATTTACGGATAACTTTAAACCTAAACCTGCCTGGGGTGTAAATATTACTCAGCTTCACTAAATGTTGTTCACAGTAGTAGTGTAGAAGTTAATATGCCTGCCTTTTTTATGTTCAATCTGAGACTGAATATAGGGCCAAGCTAAATATTTTTAAAAACACCCACTGACAGCAGATCATAGTTTTCTAAAGATCTCAAATTGATCATTTCCCTCCTTCCTCAATTGTAAGGCTCTCAATATTAGAAGTCATGTGTCATATTTGAATAGTCTTGCCCTCCAGCTACCTTTGTATATTAGATTTCTTAGCTCTGTATTGGTCCCATAGGAACTGTGTGCAGTTTTTTTTTTTGGGTTTTACACCGGTGCATGACATGAGCAGAAGCAGATGACATGTAAGCGCTTAAATTTCTCAGCAATTGTAAATTCCTTTTACTAAGCTCTGATTTTATTCTTCCACTAAACTGAGAATAAACTTAGTCTATCCTGGAATAAAAAAAAAAAAAACAAAAAAACACAAATCAGACATAATATAGTGACCACCTCACTAATTGGGTAGCGTTGCTGCTAAAACGTTGCGTATCAATAAGTCTGGTACTTCATAAGTTCAGGACATCTTCTATCTTTCAAACAACGTTATGTGCAGAATGAAATTCTGCCATAATCTTGGTGATGATGACTGGCTTGATTGTCCATTTACTTGCCTAGGTCCACCCAGTTTCTCATCACCATTCATCTGTGTCACCTGTTCCAATCTCTATTTAACCCGCCTGCTTCCAGTCATAAGTGCCAGATTATTCGGGCCATTGGTGAGAGTTCTCTAGCATATATGATTCTATTCTGATTGCCTGATCCTGACCCGTTCTGCCTTTGGACCTCTGAGCCTGCTTGTTCCTGTTCTGATCTGTTTGCCTAACCTGTCTTCGGACTCCTGCTGGATTCTGCCTGTTGATGACCCTGAATCTGCTTTCTGACACCAACCTGGATTTCCCTTCAGTACCTCTTCGGATTTCTGACTCCTGTGAACCTCTTTGACACCAACTCCAGGTCTCCCTCGAAAAAGAGATTTTATCTCAAGGGACTTCCTGGTAAAATAAAGGTTAAATAAAATAAAAAAAATAAAACCAGCTCTGGCTTCGTTCTCCAGGTAGTCCTGCCTTTCTTCGCCTGCTTCAATCTGATCTCCTGCTTGTTCTGCAGTCTTCAAGACTTCAGCATGTGGAACTGGAACACGGTGTGTTGGCAGCCGTGCAGCGGAATCTACCTTCCTCTGGGCACGTACTGAACTTAAAGACCAGAGGCTCCTGCCTTAGATGCCCTAGCTACCACCGTCAATCAGTCGATTTTAAATTAACGTCTGTCTCGTCTTGAATACCTGGTCCTCTGTTCTGAACCTTGACAAATTGCATATTTTTTTATAAGAATTTCAATTTTTTAAAGGTTTGATATCAAAAATATATAGTTTAGCATTACTAAAAATGTTTGCACTAATCAAAATGACAAAAAACACAATTACTGCAAAATCTATTACTCCAGCTTTGTTATAGTTAATGAAATGGAATTAGGAATGTAGTCTAACTTCATCTGTGACTTTCAAACTTTTCCTAAATATCTTTTCTTAATAAACATCCTAATATAAATATGCATTTATATTAAGATCAACATAAGGTGTTAATGTATGAATATATGTATGTTTAGAAACTTAACTTACACTTAGAAGCAGGCACTTGTTCTCCTTAATAGCACCCAGGCAACCGAGAAAGCCCGTCACCATAGCGATTGCCCCAACAGCGATGACCATGTTGGCAGCGGAGAGAGAGGGGAATGAAGGCGAAAAGGTGGCAAAGCTGCCCTGTGACACAGAGAGCCAGATGCCCACGCCAAGCAGCCCACAGCCACATAACTGCATAGAAAAGACAACAAAGGTGGAAAATGAACATGTTTGTGTATTTTTCAAAGCATTTTGTATCTTGTCTGAATATGCTGCTTTCAAACTCTCAGATTGAGTTCGGCCATCAGGTACCCACATCATCAGACATGGCTAAAATACCAGCTAGAATGATGTTGATTGCAGCAACCATAAACAGTTAGCTGCACATGTTTTTATTACGAGATTATAATAAATCCAGAACAAAAATTTGTAATTACAGTAGTTCCACCTTTAAAAAGAACATCTTCCAGACATTTAAAAATCAGAACAGACATAACTTTATCTACAGGAACTATTTCTCTAATGTTACCCCAATGGTTCCTGCTGATATGTGGGACATTTCCAGAGTGAGCTTTATTGCAAGCTAAGTGTTTAAGAAAGGGTCCGAGGTTGTGATGAGGTGGTTTCTTTTATGGAAATAACACTGGTGAATAACTAGGTTACAGCCAACAAAACAACAAAACAAAAGATTGATATTGTGTTGTTATAATATCATTTTTTAAATATATTTATCTTTATGAGATATATGTTGGGATATACTGTACATATATCAAGATTGGGTCCTGTGCATAATCATAAACTGGGAGGATTGTCTTTAAGGAAATATCTGGAATGATTGATTTTGACGAAAGTTTTGTAAAATCAAATCGAAGAAAAACAACAGCAGAACACAGGGCTATGTTTAATTGTGAAAGTTTCCACACACACAATGCAAAGGGAACCGAAAGGATTAGGACAGAACAGCTATGTAGCCTTAAGAAAATGTCAGAATTCATAAGGCTCGAATTGTGAAAAGATGACTTCATGAGAATGACGCATGATTTTTGCACATGGATTGACCACTAAAGGGTCCAGACCTTAACCCCATTGACAATCGTTGGGAAGTGCTGGAGAAAGCTTCGTGCAGTGGTCAGACTCTACCAGCGTCTATTCGAGATCTTGGTGAAAAATGAATGCAACACTGTGTGGAAATGAATCTGCCGACATTTAGGAAGCTTATCAAAACAATGGCACAGTGAATGCATACCATGATCAAAGCTAAAGGCGGCCACCGCAAGGAGATGGACTGCAGTTTAGACAGTGACAGCGAGACGAGGCAATGAAGCAGTGGCGGATCTAGAAAATTTTACATGGGGGGGCAAAGGGGTGGCAAGAGGTCTTGGCAGGGTGGCAGAAGTAAAGTACATGGGAATCCTTATATGTGAGCTGCTTTAACCAAATAAACACAAAACACTTTTAAACTACAGTAGTTCTTGTTTAATCATGCCCTTACACACTACAAAGATTTTCTTTTAAATTCACAACAGAATAAGCAAAGTGCAGTGATCGAACAAAAAAAAAACCTGCATCTTTTAAAAAGTAAAAGTCTAACAAGCAAAATCCCTTTAATTTATTTGTTATAATAATTGTGTCCAAGATGCAGTGGACTACAAGCACTTATTTCCTCATTTCCTTCACTCATTCCTGTGTCTCCTTCATGTATTTCCTCTTTTTCGTCACTTATTTCTGTGTCTCCTTCAGTCTTTTCCTGCACTGACCCTCCTGGGCTCTCCAGTTTACTGCCTTCTCCCTCATTTCCCTTGCGCTCTTCCTCTTGTGTACTTGTTGGAATTTTCTTTGCAAAAAAGCTGGTTATATCCCCACTTTTAGCCTTCCTTTTCATGGCTAGGCCTATGAAGTAATAGTCCTTGTATTTCATTAGCCTACACTGTAGGGCCATGGAACTTATAAGTTAAGTAGCATATACTACAATACATATATATATATATATATATATATACATATATATATATATATATATATATATATATATATATATATATATATATATATATAGGTATTGTAGTATAGCCTATATAACAAATATAAATGAGAAAGATTTATCACATTCACACACCAGTTATGTTTAGACTACTTAATTCTATTGTATTTGTTATTTCCCCAGTTATAACCTGGTTTCATTGCGATATCTGAGAGGAATTGGATTTATAGGACTGCTCAGCTAATCAAATCAACACTGTAGCCTGCGTGTTGTAACGTAACGGCGGCATAACGGTTACCATCAGTAAATCAGTTAACATTATGGATAAAAAAAATATTTTGTATTTTTTTATTACCGGTAAGCTGTTTTTTTCTTAACATTAATCAAAGGGAAGAGTGCTCTTACAAATCCCGAGGGAAGGATTTGACCGACACACTCGCTGTTTTTGCTAATCGTCTTTAGCAGATATTGACTACAAATGTAACTTTTAAGTGAAACGTGTGTTTAAACTACACCTGGTAAAAGTCACTTCACCTTCAGATGCCCTGGGACAGCTCAGTCTCTCCAGTTGGTTTGCACACTACAGAGCCACCGCGACGCTGCAGACTGTGTGTGTGTGTGTGTGTGTGTGTGTGTGTGTCAGACAGACTGAGCGCGAACTGCGCTCTGCACGTTTGAATCAGGGGCGTAGCTAAGTATTTGAGGGACGGTGGCAAATAATACATTAAAAATAAAAAACTAAATTGCAACCTTTTGGTAAATGTATTGTTTTGAGAAGCCTGTGAACATAGTGGCAGGTTGTTTTTACAGGTACAGCTTTTGGATCATCAAAGTTAGGGGGGCAGCTGGGGGGGCAAGGCTCCATATTGGGGGGTCAGCTGCCCCCCCTTGCCCCCCTTTAGATCCGCCCATGCAATGAAGGTATGATAATACTGCGTGACAATACAGCCAATATGATGCTTGTCTGATGGCACATCACCCGGTGCTATTTGCTAAATTTAAGGTTAGTTTATGCTGTGTTGAATTGAACATGCTACTTTTAGCTTTAATCATTGGGGAAAAAAATGCTAGCAGTGTGTTAAGAAGCAAGACGGCTTTGGGATAGTGATGGTCAGAACTTGAGCAAACAGAGAGCTCTGTAACTGTTTTAATTGTGTATTTGATTAGTATTAAGTGAAAGGCAAAACTACCTAATTATGCCGTAGTTGTAGCCAAGTGCTTTACATTTCCAGAAACTTGTCATTTCTATTGCATTTCAAAAGTGGTCTGAAAGCTGGTTTCACCAAATATTACAGTTAGCTAGAGATTACATAGAGATCAGCTCAAATAGTCAGAATTTCATTTCTTGTTCCTTTTTTAATTTAGACATTTCAAATAACACAATTTAGAGCCGGAAACATAATACTGTGATGTTTTTGCTTAAGGTTATCATACATACTGTCAGAATTTCATTACTGTATTGTTGTGATTTACTTTTGATGTAATGTTAGGGCTGGGCGATATGGAAAAAAAACTATATCACGATATGGATTATTTTATATCACGATAACGATATATATCACGATATGCCACAACTGATGTTGCATTTTATGTTTTCATAGTCCGTCAGATGGACAGGGTTGAAAAAAATCTTTCATTGCCTATTTTTTACCCATCATCTTGTTTCCTAATATGAGAATCCCAACCTCAAACCAAAAACACCAGTTATGCAATTTGCGGCCATGACAGTGAACAGTATAGAATCTTGGCTAAAAAAAGTTAAGATAAAATAAAAAAGTTTATCACGATAGAAAAAATAGAGGAGAAAGGTCACGATAGACATGTTTCTATCGTCCTCACGATATATATCGCCATATCGCCCAGCTCTATGTAATGTAATAAAAAAATCTATTTTTTTGTCATTATTAAAAGAAATCCACTAAATATAGTGATCAAATGCTAGGTTGTTATCAACCGTCCTTACTGCCATCCTTTTTTCTTATCCAAGCACTGCTGCAAAAAATGGCCTCGTCAGCAATATGTGCAGAAAACCTGCTGTGAATCCAAACAAACACCAAGGCAAAGGTTCATACACAGCACTTCTCAGTTAGTAAGGAATTATTCTGAGTATTTTATCTTTTATTGTAATAAAACAATGAATCTATAATAAACACTAGTTCTGATAAAATAAGACTATATTGAATGATATGGCCAGTTTACAGATACATGTTTAATCCTTTATAAAATCACCTGTAAGTTTGGTTATGCAGACAATTCACTCCTTAATGCGATCTAGAGTAAATAATGAATACCAGTCAGCTCCAAGGTAGCTCTTAGTGTTAAGAGATGATGTGTAAAAAGAACTTTAAAGCTTTCACTGCAAAAAATCCTGAAATGGTGAGAGGTGCCTCAAGTCTAAGGAGTCCTACCACATAGATGCATAAGCCACACATCACATCTCAAATGTCAGATGAGCTCAGTCTCACCGCCACTGATCTTTGACCTTTGAGCTCTGCTTGTTTAAATTTACGCAGACTTATGTGATGACAAGGATCTGGGCCATGGAGAGCAGCACAAACAGGAAGATGATAGACTTGTCCTTGCAGAGAATTGGCAATGAATCAATTAAAAAGAAAAGGCGGATGGAGCAGCGCGGAGCAATGCATCAAGACTGATAAGAGCTCTTTTTGAGAATGCTAAAATTATACAGCTGGCTGCGTTATTTTACAAAACTCTGCTGTCAATGTCTTCTGCCAAGGTTAAAAGCTATGCTGGCTGGAAAACAAACAAACAAAAAAACTAAGGGATGAGGAAGGGCCCTTGTTTGTTCATAAACAGATGACAAGTAGGTCCTATTAACCTCTCTTAATGTAAGTATTTATAGCCACTGAAGTTTTTACAGTTCTTCTATTTACAAGCTCAAACTTGTAAAGTCTTTGGCTAAATAGAGCAAAGCACAATACAATCTGAAATGGGTGGCATAAATTTATATTCTGCCTATTTAACCTTAATATCCATAAATAAAATATAGTCCAACCAACTGATTTCAGAGGTTCCTCAATTAAATATAGCCCAGCCATTTAGAAAAGGATCCATAGCATAATTCTTCTGTAAGGGCCCTGGAGGTTTGTCAGCAAAAAGAATGATGACAGCATCATGCTGGGGGAATGGTTTATTTTACAGGGATATAACAGCTTAGCGAGTTAGAGATGGGTGAAGATAAGTACAAGACATTAGAGAAAAACCTGTTAGAAGCAACAGAAGTAAGA